GCCCACCACTGCCCCGCTGCCCATCTATTTCCCCCTGCCTACAGCTCCCGCAGAGCAGCGCGCCACCTGCTCGGGCCCGGCCAGGGAAGGCGGCAGCAAGGCACGCCGGGAGCTGTAGTTCGTTAGGGAGGGGAGCGGCACCGCCCCCGAGGTTCTCCGTGGGTGGGCAGCACAGCCGGCCTGCCAGCGCCCCACGCCTCACAGTGCCGGGCTTAGAACACCTCAAAAGTCTCGTCTGCATCGTATGGTTTGTCCTGGGCGCTGCTTACAGCGGAGCTCCTGGCTCAGGTGCCCCGCCGCCTCTTCCAGCCCCCCTCGCCCACGTCTGCCCCGGGGCTGCCGCCAGCTCGCTCCCCTTCCGCCCCTGCCACCGCCGCACGGATGCGGCTGTCACATAGAGCTGTGCTTTCCGAGCCAGCTCGCCAGATTCACTCCGTAAGGGGATTTTCAAAGTTTTCTGAACTGCTGCCCGGTTAACCAGTCTGTTTTCAACGGCTTTGCTTTCAGTCCAGTTTTTATGGGGGTATTGGTCATACAGAGCCGGACAGGGAGGTTTGCTGGGGACTGGCGTCACACAGCGTTATCTTCCGCCACCCCTTTGGAAAAGACTAGAGTGAAAGCTAGGAGCCAAATCAGTTCAGTATCTGGGAGCACGCCTGAGAAGGCTTACTATCAACCTATGAACTGAAGTCAGATTAAGGTAACTGCAAGAAAGTTAACACACAAACGTCAGATTGGATTACTTGGAGCATTTGACGACCGCTTGGACGGGCAGTTGTGCTGCTCTGCACAGCCACCCTCGTGTTGTGCCTCCAGCACAAGACACATATCCCTCCGCACCAGTCTAATGTGACAATCGCTACCCATGTCTTGCAAGAGAGCAATTAGCAGTATTTAATTCCCTAGACAGAAGAATCAAGATCTGCAGTTTTCTCGGATCCTGGTGTGTCTTTGAGTGCCTCCTCCTCCCCCATGCTCTCCTTCTTATACCAGACTTTGTAAGCAGTGTCACTTCAGCAAGAAATTATATTTTCTGTGCTTAATTGGAGGTTGCAATAGAAAATAGGATTTAATAAGGCCATAGAAAAGACAAGGTGCCAGTGCATCCCCTTACTCCCCTTTATCGGCTGAAAGTGCAAAGCTGGAAAGAGCCAAATCACTGTATCAAATTTTCTCGTTCTAGAGTAGCAGCAGCAATACTGTGTCAAAACTGCAGAAGAGCTTCAAGTTTGAACAACAAAGGGGAAGTTATTCCCCACTCGTTCATCCCTCTGCATATCTGTGTAGACTGTCAGAAGCAAGGTTGTGTAGGAGTGGATCCCTTACCACCTTTTAGCGCAGCCTTTCAGGAGAATGGCAAGACTGGAAGTGCAGATGTGAAGGCAACCTGTTGCTTCCTATAACTTTTCATCTTGATAGCCAGCAATAAATAAGCAGCAACTTACCAGCCTCCTTCTTCACCTCAGGTCTGTTGCAAGTACCTTGGGTCTCATACTGGCCTTCCAAACAGCAACAAAAATTTTTGCTCTTACCTCAAAGAAATGGCAAAACCCAAGGCAACTCAGCGAAGACAAAACCCACACAAACTAAAATGTAATCTTAGCTGGATAATGCATCAGTTTCAAACTAATAGTGCCTTTCCTGTAAAATCTTTTTTATTTTTTTCTTTTTTTTTCTTTTTTGTCATAATACTGGTTAAAAACAAATCTGTCGTGAATTGGCTTCTACTGCAAACGTTACCTGATGGATATTTCCATCTGAACATCATAAAGATGTTCTTTTTTTTATGGGTGAAGGACACATTCAGGGATTGCTTGTAGAGGTCCCTGAAGTTCAGTTTTGCTTCCATTGGAACAAATAAAACTTTGGGAACAGATGGCAGATCACATAATATTTTTGTAAAGAAATTTCATAAAATAAACTTTGTCACTTCTGTAAAACAGCTAATTGAGCTTAATGAATTCAACACAGAAGAATTTTAAATGAATGGTGTTTAACTGAATCCCTGAGCTTATGTGACGTCAATCAGTCTCATAGGGACACAAATGTGCCACATCTGAAGAGTTTTATTTTGAGGTTTCTATGATTAAGTAAAGAATAGGGAAGGAGCTACACTCCCCCTCTCGTTTTGTGAAATTAACATAGTTTTTTTTGCAGTTTCAAGGTTTCTGCAGTTTGAGACACTTCTCCAGGCATGAATGGAGAGTAACAAAACTAAAAACCTTGGTGGGCAGATTCAAAGAGAAGGAGGTGAAAAGGAGAAAGAAAGCACTTCCAAATGAATTTTTATAATTGCCTAGGTTTTGAACTCTTAGTCCTTCTGAAAATACAGCTTAGAAATCAGATATGCTGTAGAGACTAGTTTTGCACCACTCCCTCCCCTGGAGATGTTTTATTTTTCCAAACAAATTTGAACCAGGTATGCCAAGGATCCTGCTTCGTCAAACTTTCAGGGATACTATTTTTACATTAATGGTATTGGCTTTTCTTCTCTATGCAAATGACTTTCCAACTAAGAGATTACTTCTTATGTGGATTTGCACTTGATTTTATAGAAACATTTCCAGTTTTCTGAACAAGTGTTGGATCAAAACTCCAAGGTTGATTGAGGGTAGAAGCTGAAGCAGTGAGGGGTAGTTTCAATTTGGTTAATTTTAGCTGCCTGCCCTAGCTAATTTTTATGGGATCAGAGTGCTAGTTACTTAGAATTATAACTCCAAATGGCTCCGGAGACAAAGTCCAGTACAACTTTTTTTGAAGCTACAAGAATTATTACTGCTGTTCTTCCTGTATGTTTCATCTCATATTAATTTGGGGATAAAGAGTAATTAAAACAATGATGCTTACAGTTTGATACCACAACCCCATCAAAATCTGACATTTTGAATTAATTTTTGAATTAATTTTTTAACACATCAGGAAATTTAACTGTCTTATTTAAACATTGCAAAATTTTTCATCATCAAAACCTCTTTATAATTAGTCCCTAAAGGTGAAATTCACTCCTGTACAGACAGCTTTGCATGGCTCTTTGTCATATAAGTACTGCTTTATGGAAACTGGGGGGCAATGATGAAGTGTAATTAAAACAGTCTAACTTGTACTGTCAAAACCTTGTAGCTAGCCTTTTGCAGATGCAATCAGTGGCGAGCTCCTCTCTCACATGAATGCAATTTGTAAACCTTGAAATTGTCAGTGTCTTGGTAAAACAGAAAGGGTTAAATGATTAATTGTGTGATAGATACATGAATGAATATTGCAGATAATAATTGATACTTGAAAGATATACTTCAACAGAAAATAGAAGGGTGGAAATAATGACACTAGAGGATATTTCACCATAAACACTGACATGATCATTCTTTTTCCTTCAGCAGAGGCAGCTGGGCCAGCAGTTATAGTGCAGTACAGCGAGAATGCTGTGAGAGGGGCCAGCCAATTATCTATCACTTCCATATCTGTGGCAAGCAGTACAGCCCAGGTAAAAAGATCATCCCTAATCTAGTAGTTTAGACTTTGAATTTTCATGACAATCTCAATCACTGCAAAGATACACAAAAATATATTCATAACCCATTATTGCTGATATTTGGGTTAGGGATCCTGTGAGTCTTGAAAGTTAAATTCCAAATATTTCTTTGAATTGTCGTAAGTTCTAAATGAAAATGAAGGGAAATGAAGGGAAAATGAAAGAACAAACTCTAATAGGAACAACTGGGAAAATTTCCATTTCAGGCACGAGTGCAGAATGAGCTTTTTAACAGGGGAGAATCATCAGGCAACTTCAGCTCTCCTTATTGGCTTTTGGATCACCAAGAAGAAGTACTAAGTATTCCAGGTTTACATATTTTATATCTCTATGCTCATATACAATCCAAAATAGTTTACAAATGGTGATGGGTGAATAGACTATAATTTAATATCAAATATCTTACAGATGAAGAAAGAAATTATCTGTTTACACCTGCAATTTCAGGATATGTAGAATATTGTGAGTAGGAAGCGATCCATATGGATCATTAAGTCCAACTCCTGGCCCTGTGCAGGAAAACTTCCAGAATCACATCACACATATCAGGTACATCTCAATGTTTTAGTGTTCACTGTCTGTGTATTTCAGTAGAATATACAATTAAAAATACTTCTGTCTCCTAATTACAGGGTCTGCTTTTGCGATTCTCGTTGGCATTAGCTGATTCCGCTGCCTGTATTTCTGTTCCTGTTATTGACCTAATTCTAAGTACATGAAATATGATTATTTCAGGCAGATGACCATTTTTTACAAGCATCTTTGTCCTTTGTATAGGAAGGTAAAAAATGAGAATATGATTCTTGTGTTCTAGCAGTAATGTTCTTAGATCTGTGAGCACCTAACTAGGTGAAACAAAGTTTGTATCTGAGCGGATGCGCTCTTATCGCATCATCTAATTAGCTTAGTGAAAAGCAAGCAGGCTTTCAAGAACACCAATATTCTTCATGTCCTGTCTACTTATATCAGCTAGTTTAGCTAAATAGAGATGTCACTTACATACATCAAACCAGCCTTGTTTGTAACAAGCTAGCATTATAATGAAACTCTTCAATAAATGTTTATAAAATAGATGCACTTGGTTTTATGTGGGTAACTAAAACATGAATAGAGTTCTCCATTATATACCATTTTAGAATATACAGAGAAATTTTCATAGGGTATTTTCAGGTCCTTGTTTATTGTTACTGTTTAAGACTAAGGATCTGGTGATACTGGGGCCAAAGGGTCATGATCTCATCACATGCATGTTCTGCTACACAAGAGAACACATGTATGTAGGCTGCATTGTATTTAGACAAACTCTTAGAGACAGAAGAACAATCACACAACTTTTATGGTGAGCTGAGCACACTTGATCATAGTAAAATAATGTTACTTTACAGAACCGTTCCTCAAAGCAGAGCTATGTTTCAGTATGGTTGAAAAAAGTGTGACTTTAAACAACACAGGCTTGTAAGGTGAAATGAAATATTAATATGCAACTATATGAAAGACTCCATGGTGTTATATTATAAAAAACAAGAAGAGAAACTTTTGTTCAGTTCTAATTTAAAATATTTATTATTCTCAAAGTGTTCTTATGAGGATGATCTTGTTTCAGTACTGGCAGAAAAAGGTGTGTTAGTGAAAACAGTCAGTTTGAAATGCCAGAAAATAACAAATTACTCTACTGTAGATTAGACTGCTGTTTTAACATGTCATTATTTGACTATTAAAATTAAATTTGGAGGGAAGGTAAAATCCTATATATACTCCTAAGTGATGTCTCTATAGTACTATCTATCAAATATGGCTGTTTTTCCTTTAATTTAAACCATTATCCTATGTTCCACACAGCGAAGTAGTGTCACTCACTCCCTCTAAAGTTTCCCATGTGGCCAAGTAATTTAAGTATGCCATCACCAGAGCAACTCTGCAGCTAAAAATATACTGCTATTAAATCCAGAGAGAATAGATCACTAATTGCAGCTTAATATTGGAGATGGACGTGAAATACTGAGCTAGCCATCACAGAATGCACTAGTAACCCAAACTTGTGTTATAATTGAAAAGACAACTGTTTATATCTTCATGAATGACTCTTATAATTACAATAGCTAAGAACTTGCTAAAGCTAATTAAGATATGGACTGCTACTTCCATTGCAGACTTCCATTGCTTAATTATTATTTATCTAAGAAAGAAGTGTTTTTCCTAAAACCTACCCTTCCTTGTGTGGAATGTCGCACTGGGTATGTTTCCCTGTATGAAAGTTGAACCAACAGAACATGTGACAAGATACAGCATGTGTGGAACTTCACAGGAGGTGGTTCCTTCTCCCTGAAGGATTGCAATATAAATGAAGGATTACATAAGCAACACGTTCTCAAGCTGGCTGTTCCATGAGAGCCATTGCCAAGGAAGAAGAACATAGGGTATCACCTACTAGGTCTCTACCATCTCCCCAGGAGTGTGAGTCAGTGATGAGGAAGGTGTATGCATGTAGCAGGTTTTTGGTTTAACTGCAGAAATTCATATTTTGGAGTCCTTTGCATCTCTTTCCAGCTGCAGTTTCCAGAATAGGCTGACATTTTATAACCAACATCCACTTCAAGTGGTAGTCACTTAGGTAAGGCAGTTTATTTTCTGTAACATCACTTGCAGAATTATTGCCTCTTGAAGTAGAACTATTTATTGAATTGATTTAGAACAACTGTTTTTATTACATCTTTAGGCTTCATCTTATTAATTTTATGTATAACCTTTCTTTTAGCTGAATTGCATGTAGTTTAGGGTATGTTCTGAATCCCCCACTGACCTCCCCTTTCCCTCTTTTCTTACTAATTCTGTATCTTCATTCTCAGTGTAAACTTCTTGAATTGGAAAAAAGTAAAAGAGAAGAAGGAATATTGTATATGAAATCCTTTTAGCAAAATAAGGAGAGTAACATGATTTCTCAAACCCAAAATAAGTTGAAACAAAAGGACCTGGTTATTATTGAAATGTAACTCTTTCTTTCAGTAGCTAGATCAGTCCTGTGGGGTTTTGTTTGCTGTGACCTTAGATTTCTTCACATAACCGCATTCTTGAAATATTTTGATTTTTGTATGCTGGTTCTCAATAAGTATCTTTTCATGTGATTATAATCAATCAAGTATTTTTTTTCCAAGTTTATTATTTTCTTACATTTACCATTTTCACATTAATTTTAAAGACTGTTTTTGCATTAGGCTAATTCAAACAAAGCAACAGAACTAGTATAGATTCATAATAAGTAAAATAATCCCCTCAGCTAATAAAAAAATGAAGTCACAGTATGCTGACTATGACAAATTGAACAGCTCTTCATTGGATTCCTGCTGAGAAAAGTGGACAGCAGGGGTGATCTACTGCAGATCATAAGAAAAGGTGTGATATTTCTGTTGTCATTTCTCATAATTTGGCCATCCTTGGAAAAGCCTTTTTCATTTCGAGTATTCATGGTTTGAGATGCAAAGAGAAGTAATCCTTTCCTTCCCTATCTTGGGCAAGGCAATTTCAAATAAAATCCAAACATTTTGAGGGTTTCTTCCTTTTCCTCCTCTTGTTCAAAATTTAAGTGTTTAATTTCTCACCATTTGCCATGAAGGATGTTTTCACAGCTAGATATCTATATTCCCTGGCAATACCTCCCCATAGTGCAGAACTAGTTGGCTGAGAAGCTGGTGTGCAGCTCTTCAAAGCCATGTTGGGATCCCTCTCCTTCAAGTTTGGGCCCAGTGCCACAGTGATTCAGATCTACTCCTCCATCCATTCTCTCTAGTCGATTACATTCCATTTTGCATTTTTTCTTGTCTTTCTGCTTAGGGCCGAATCAAGGTATGTTTTCCACCTTTTCTTGACTATAATGTTTACAGTTGCTTTCAAAGGAAAGCCAAGGGGCTTCTGTCTTCTTGTTCTAGAGTCTTGGGCTTAAAGAAACAACAGGGTTTGCAATGCTAGTGTTAGAGCTGACAATATTTTGTTCTTTAAGGTAGAAACTCTATCTCAGCTGTAGTGTTTTGTTGTTAAAAATTAAAAAAATTAAAAATTAACCACTTAAATATTACACAAATATTTTTGCAAGCCAAAGCTGTTCCATTACTTCATCAGATTTGGCTGACAAGGTTTCATAGTGACTACTTTTCATACCCTTGTAATAAGCCTTTCCTATTTAGATTATTTCCCATATTCTTAGCCTTTTATGCATACTCACAATCAGCTTTTCCTCAATATTTATCATTCAGGTGTTTCTACCTTAATATAGATTCTAGTGAGATACTCCATCAGACTGGAGAGTCAAAGTGCTCAGAATGTCTTAAGCAAACACCATTTGTTGTTGATAATTTAAATGGGCTCTAGTCTTTCATTACTGTATCTACAGGTCTATGAAACTGGAAGAGATTTAACAGAAAACTCATTGTAGAAATTGCATAAGCTTTTAAAAGCCAAACCAATTTTGATCTCAAATTCTGTGCCCAGAGAAAGGATAACTGTAACAAATTTCCTACCTCTGTGCAGTTACAAAATGTTTCTTAAATTCAACCAAACGTTTCTCCCAGCCAATTCTCATCTTGCTGCTTTTTATCTTTGCATAACTAAATAAAATCACAGCATTCTGAGGTTTGGGTTGTTTTTCCTGGGACAACACTCTCGGTTATTTTCAGCTTCACAAAGCATTTGGTTAGAGCAGCCATACTTTCTCTTGTTAAAGATATCTAAGAGGACTGTGATTTTTAAAGAGCTCCATGTGTACCCAATTATGAAACCAATTAATTTAGTCAAAGATTAGATTAACTGCCATCTGTGGCCTGATTGTTTCATAAATTTGAGTACTTCTGATCAAAGTTGTCATAAACAGTCTTACGCAGCATGTGACAAATCAATGTCAGCCAAGGATGTCTCCATATGAAGAGAGTTCATTATTAAGTGTTCCATATTATTACATAACTTCTATCACCATTCTTTACGGCATATATTATTTGGGATATGTTTTATTTGTTTCACTAGAAGTGAAACCATGGAGCTTGCTTATAAAATAATGCCACTGTTACTTATGTAATAGATAATACAAAAGCCATGTCTAGGATGAGACGATAAACATACCCACAGTGGAGGACAAAAGCCGAGGGGAGGGCATGAAATAAAGCAAGCTGGAGAAACAAATAAAGCAGAAACATGAACTCAGATTGGCCCTCATGATAAGACCTTTCATGGATATACAGCTGGTCACCAAACAGGCCATGCACCTATTCAATTTTTTGATTTTGCTTTTCTCTTTTACACTTCTCAGTGCTGCTTCGTTCAGTATATGATGTTCAGCTGTTCTATCCAACATGGGAATTGGCTATATCATCCAGAGCTAGAATTTACTGTGGGAAGCACATCTGTGCTCTGACTAGAACAGAGAAAATGAGGTAGTAGATTTGTCTAAAGATAGAAACTTAAACAGTGGTGGAGACTGTAGACATGGGAAAATGGTCACCCTTTTGATCATCTGGAAAGATAGTTCCTCTTAGTTACAGAGGTATTCAGCCAAGGAATAATATGCCATGGAACAGAGAAATGCATGTAAAACAAATCCTTCTGAACCAGTGTAGTTCCTTAAAATACCAGTTTGTATTCTTGAAAACAACAAAAACACCTTAAAGGTGAAGAACAGTTCAATTCCATGCAGAATCCAGATCACCTGCAATGGATTTTTCTCTCTCAGAAGCAAAGTCACACACACACACACACATATATATATACACATATACATAAATATCCTTATGTACACATACTAAACCCAGTAGCAATTCCTTGTCATACAGGCAAAGCTCAGGATGAAAATTAAAGTCAAAAGAAAGGAATGTTGAACCATATTCTTTTGCATTTTTCTTTCTTCACATTCCCTTGTATAAATATGACAAAAATTACACATGGATGAGTGGGATCTTACCAGTGCAGAAAAAGTATGCAAAGAAAGGGTATTATGACAGTTTTTCCTACTGCCTATTGAGAAGAAACACAGCTTTTTTTGATAGGCAAGAGTAGCTAGAGAAAGATATTGTAAGGAAATCCTCTTGGTACAAGAGTACAAACCTTTAAGCTCCATAAGCTTCTTGAAGTTCCATTTTAGAGAGCTTTCTTTTAATTTTGGTATAGCTTGCTTAAGAAATGATGATTTAGAAATCATCTTTCCTCAAAATATTAAGTGATCTGGTAGTCCTCTTGCATCTTTTGCTGAGGAGGAGTGAGGACGCTGGAGTTTATGGAGAGGTTGTTTGAAGATCTGCTCACTTTCCTCTAACATAACTAATGCTCCTATCTCTAGCACATACTGTGGGCTTTTAGGCAGTATCAGCAGCTTTATTATTAAAGAAAAAATCCCAACAAACAACAAAACAATGAAGAAAACCCAAAACAGAATACAAAAAAGCCCTGTGATATGCCATCTTTAAAAGAATCAGAGCAAAAGAAAATATATTCAAAAATTACCCAGTACAAGAGCTGAGAAATGCAAACCACAAGCTCATCACTCCCTAAATTAGGGCTTGTGGTGGTTTTGCCTGAGCCAGCAACCAATGTGTTCAGAACCTAGCCCCATACCAGCCACTGGAAAAAAATTACCCCAGATGAAACCAACACAGCTATAATCAATATCTGTTTCATTTTCTTTCCTTTCTTCTAAAAGAGACTCATTTCAGATTAGAAAATAGAACACAAAGGCTATTTTTATCTAACCTGATTACCCACGCTTAGAGCTGCAACCAGGCCCATTATGATAGTCAATTGAACTTTCTGTACATAGCTTACTCTATGTTATGCTTTGTTAATAAATCTGTGACTGGGTACAGGAAGAACAGCTACTTCTCTCTACTGCTCTGGGTGTTGCACTCTGCTCAGGTGAAGTCCATAGGCAGAAGGGGGAAGTTCCCCGGGGGCCAGTAAACCATATTCACCTGGTAAAAGGTGTCGGTGTGAAGTAATAGGATTAGTACAATAAGTGATTCCTTTACTGCTTGATCAGAAAAATTCTTGCCTTTTTAGGACGTTGAGAAAGAGTCTGAGGAAGAGAACATAGTGAGGTTCTATAGGAAATAAATTTGTGAAAGAGTTAGGGCTGAGTTGCTGTAGTATTAATACTGAAATAGTCAAGCCTTAGAGGGAATAGAAAGATTTTTTTTTTCTTTGTTGAGGCATTTGTACAGACTGTATTTAGTCTGGGGAATTTCTGAGTAAGAAAAATTAACTTCAAGGAAGGGTTCTATCCACTAGGGGTTTAGCAGGTATGGGATAGATATGTTCTCAGACTATTTTTAAAGTGTGTCTCAGTATTTCTGAATTTGCACTTGTTACAGATATTGTTTGTTCTACTTTTCTGGGATTATAAATCTGTCATATTTTTTGGTAACTTTAAGAAAAGGGGAAACTGAGATAATGTCAAGCTTCCAGCTGAACTTGGGTTGTTTTTTTAGTATAAATTAAAGTCTTGGTCCTCCCAGGATGTTTATGTGGACAAGTGTTTTCTCTTCCAATAATTCTATCCTAACTTATTGTTTGGGATTAGGTGTCTTACTTGACTGCAAGTAAAAAATAAATATCTTTGTGTTGTTATTTCATTACCAAGCTCCATGTCTGAAGATAACTGTCTTTTGTCATCCTTTAACCATTTTTGTCACTTTTTCCAAGGTGATCATTGAATAAAGCTTTGTTTAAACTATGCAAGACTGAGGCTGTGTATGGTATCTCTTTTTTCTGGAGAAAATTTGATAATAAACTTGAAATATAACAGGCACAGGAATAGTTGCCTACCCCTGGAAGGAAATGCAGTGAGTACTTAACAACCTGAACAATTTTTAGAGAGCAAAGATCAAACTATGGATTAATAGGTGCATTTGTTGACGCTGTAACTGTTGTAACCACATCATCTCAGTATGAGCAGAACAAACAACATTTATGGAAACCTGTGAGTTTTTAAAAACTGCTAACAATGTCATTTCCACTTTTTATGACATTTTGGAGAATGTTTAGTAAACACAAAGGTGTAGAAGTGTTTTTTGTATGAATTCAGCAAACATAAAATATTCCATGCTGAGCAATCATTTTCAGAAATGTGTCCAGTTGTT